AGCCGCCGTTCGCCCCTCCAGCGTCTCCAGTGGCCCCCGTGGGCCGACACGGGCTGCTGGGGTCGCCGCCAGCTCCGCGCCGGCCCCAAGCGGCTGTCGGCGCCGCCCTGCGCTAGCCCCGCCGCGCCAGCGCGTCAGTCAGCTCGGCGGCCTCGCAAACCGGTGTCGAGCCGCGCTGCTGCCGCCGCCGCGGCGGCTCCGCCCGCTAGCCGGCGGCGCGCCGCCTAGCGCAAGACGGCCGCCTTCCGGAGCTGGCGCGCTGTTGCCGCCTGCAGGCCGCAGGACAAGACCTTGTCGGCCCGCGCCAGCTCGCGTTGCTGCTCGTCTTCGGGCAAGCGCCGCACCTGCCCTAGCAGCCAGAGGCGGCCCTCGGCGCCGAGCCGCCCCCCCGCCTCGAGGACGAAGGGCGTCAGCCGGTCGCCGGGGTAGCGGGCGTGCTTCTCCCGCTCGCCGCGCCTGCTGGCCTCGCCGTCCCGGCGCGCGGCCAGCCGCAGCTCGGCCTGCGTGCCGGCTGCAGGGTGGCGGACGGAGACGTCGAGCCAGTAGGTGCCAGCGGGAGGAGGAGGAGGAGGAGGAGGAGGAGGAGGAGGAGGAGGAGGAGGAGGAGGAGGAGGAGGAGGAGGAGGGAGGAGGAGGAGGAGGAGGAGAAGGAGGAGGAGGAAGAGGAGGAGAATGAGGCAGAGCACGAGGACGGGGATCTTGGATCAGGGGGGTCCTCTCTCCCACCTCCCTTCCACCCCCTGTCGCTCCGCTGCCCTCTCCCTCCCTCCTCCTCCCCCTTCCGCCCGCGCTCGGGGTTGTAGGTGGGCGTGCCGCAGGAGGCTGGGGCACCTACAGTTCGGGGAGGGGGCTGTGCCGTGCACGGGGTCCAGTCCGAGTGCACCTTCTGCCAGGGTCTGGGTTCACGCCCGTGTTCCATCGGTGGCGGCGGCTGCAGAGGCAAAGCCACATGCTTGCACACGGTGTCCGTTGCCGAAGTGCCGGCATCATGATTGAGTCTGCTGGGGTGGCACGGTATATTCACACAGGATTGTGGGGCAATCCGAGCGGCGGCGTTGACTAGTCGCAGAAAACGAGTGGAGACCGAGTGGAGGAGCGGGTCCTCCATGAGCCATGGCGGCCGCAGGCGATTCTCCGCTCTTGATATTGCCTCCACTGTTGTTATTTCCTTCTGTACCCAACCCTGCATCCTCCCCTCCCTCCTCCTCCTCCTCCTCCTCCTCCTCCTCCTCCTCCTCCTCGCCCTCGAGGCACGTGCCGTCCGTCGAGGCGCTCCGTGCAGCCCTTCGGCGTGCGAGGCCGTCTGCGCCTGGCCCTGACCGCCTGATGGCGAAAGCATGGCTGGTGGACGAGCGGCTCTCTGATGTCCTCCACTCCCTGATGCTGCGCCTCTTCGCTGGCGGAGGCGCTCCCCTGGGCTTCAACTACGCGGGCATGGCCTTCGTTCCCAAGGGCTCCGAGGCGTCCGACTCCTTCGACGTGGTCAGGGCGCCTGGCCGCCTCCGCCCGTTGAGCCTGAAGAACGCTGATGCGAAGGCTGTAGCGGCGGCGACGAACATCCAGCTGGGACACCTGACTGCCCTCCGCGCGCACCCTGCGCAGCAAGGTTTCATTCGTGGCCGCAACTTCCTTGGCCACATTGTCCGCCAGGATGCGATCGCTCGAGCTGCGGGGCACCACCCTGGCCTCGCTCCTGCCTTCGTTTCCTTCGACCTTCGTGCCGCTTTCCCCTCCCTCTCCCAGTCGTTTCTCCACCGAGTACCCGAGCGACATCGCATCCCGACGGGTTTTCTGAATGTGATTGTTGCTCTGTATTCTGAGGCTCTCGCCCACGCCCGACGCGGCTCCGCCAGGCTCCCGCTCTTCATGGTCTCCTCGGGGGTCGCCCAAGGATGCCCCCTCTCAGGCACCATGTGGGCTCTGTGCATGGACCCCTTCTTGGGTTACCTAGAGGCCCTGATAGCCAGCCCAACGGCTCGCGCAATGTGCCCTCGCCCATTCAGATGGTGCCCAGGGCTCTTCCCTGAATGTGGAGCGACGGCGGACGAAGTGGGACTCGCCCTTCCCTCGATTTCGCTCCTCCCTGCTCTCGTCCCCCCCTTTCGACGCCGCCCGCACTTTAGCGAACCTGTCCCTCCAGCCCGAAAAGTGTTGTGTCGTCCCCCTGGCGGAGTCATGCACGCCATCCGTGGAGGCGAAATTCCAGCGCTCGGTTGCCGATCTTGTCCCCCAATGGTCTGAGTGCCACGTGCGTGGACACACAACATTCCTTGGCATCGAGTTCGGCCCTGGTGCATCGCTAGAACCGCAATGGGCCACCCCTTCACAGAAATGGCGCGCCCACACGATCGAGACTGCCCTGTCTCGCTCCCCTGCCGAAGCCAGCTGCAGGCTCTATAATTTCTGCATCCTCCCTGTCCTTAGCTACGTCTGCCAGCTCTTTCCCCTTCCCCCGTCCCTCCTTCGGTCTGAGCGTCACGTCCTCCACCGTCTCCCCCGTCTCCCCCCCGATTCGTTTGGCCTCATGGAGCTGATCGGCATTGGCTCCTGGCTCCCATCAGCGGTCCCTCGATCCGCCCTCGTGCTTGCCGCATCCTCGGCCTGGCGGACGGCCTCCTTCACTCTTCCTCGCGACGGGCCTCGGGGGTGGGCGGGACCTGTGGAGACCTTCCGATCGCACGCACAGCTGCACGGAGCACTCGGTGCTCTCGCGACGCGGAGCCTCTCACCACAATGCTGGGTGCGAAGATGCTCGATCGCTGAATTCCTGGAGGCATCTTCCTCTGCAGCGGCCCCTCCGCCCGGCGTGGAAGCCGCGGCCTGGCGGGCTGCAACGACAGCCGCCGAGTCCGAGATCCTAGCGGCGGCGCAGGATGCCCGCCGCCCCCGACCGCAGCGCACCCTCACCCGTCTCCTCTCCTCGTCTCTTTTCCCCGACGCCCTTCCTTCCCTGCTCCATCGGCGTCTCGCGGTCTGGCTTCCGAGTGGGGACATCCCAGCGGCCCCCGAGCTGCTCAAACGCTGGGAGGCCCTCCGTGTGGTCCTCTCGCACTCTCCCCCCTCCTGGGCTTGAGCCCACCTCAAGACTCTGGCGGGGACCTGGACGACCTCCGCCCGCCTTCCAAGTGCTCCAGCCTGCTCCTGTCTCTTTGGATGCTCCGACCCAGATGAGTTCCCCCACTACCTCGTGTGTCCTCGACTGCTGCACCTCCTCGCCCTCCCTCGCGGGTCTCTCCCCGTCTCGCCCCTCACTCGTCTGTGTCTTGGAGCTGAGCCCGATTCGGAGACAGAGTATCCCCGTCAACGATGCCACCACATTGTTGTCCTCAGCTTTCACACTTATCACAAAAATTGAAAGCTGATCTCTCTCTGCGCCGTCGGTCCCCGACGCCGCCATACCATTACGAAATACGAACCGCCGCACTTGCTGCTATGCGCATCTGGTGCTCAGGTTACCACGAACCGCCTCAGGTTACGTGCGCTCGTCCTCCTCCTCCTCCTCCTCATCATCTTCCTCCTCCTCTTCCTCATCCTCCTCCTCCTCCTCCTCTTCATCCTCCTCCTCCTCCTCCTCCTCCTCCTCGTCAGTCCGTGGCCATTTTGGCTCAAGGCTCCTTCTCCTCCTCCCCCTCGTCGCTCGCGCTCGGCATGTCCTGACGGTGGCGGCGGCGGGCGGGGCGCTGAAGTGGGATGGCTGCGGGAGCCAGCTCGGGTCGCGCGTGCCGAGCTGGCAGCGCTGGCAGCGCTAACGGGACGCTGCGCGGCGCGGCGGGGGCCCGAGCTTCGGCAGATCGCCTGGTCGCGCGCCTGCAGCAGCAGGTGGAGGAGGCCGAGGGGCGGGCCAAGGACGCCGAGGGCGCGCTGTCCACCCTCTTCGGCGAAGAAGACATCGCGGCTCGCGTTCAGTGTCTTCTTCCTGCTCTCCAGGCCCTCGTCCAAGGTCGAAGGCCTACCTGGTTGCAAGGACTGCGGCGCAATTGCGGATTGCACGCGGCAGCTCCAGGTAAGCGATTGCTGCGGGCGGGCGCCAAAGGGCTTCGTCATGCTCAGCATGGGCCGCGCCTGGGGGGCCCTGAATGTCAGCAGCAGGTCGAGGAGAGCCAGAAGGTGCAGTCGGCAGTTCCTGTGCAGTGCATCGTGGAGGCGTGCGACGCCGAGCCGTCCCTTAGAGTTCGGAGCCTGCAGGTTGAGCGGCCAGTGCTCGGGCCGACGGTTTGGTGCCTGGACGCCCCCGAGTTCGTGCCAGGTGGACTCGAGTTCTTCGGCGCCGTGCGGCAGTCAGTCGACCAGCATGTCGATGTGCTGCTGCAGACGCTGGCTGGGGGTGCGCCGCCGGTGCACCGGCCTGCCGAGGCGCTTGCGCTCCGCAGGCCTGGCAGCGGTGGTCGTTTTCATCATGTTGACTCGTCCCTGGTGGCGTACTCCAGGCACTGGGTCTTCTCGTTCTCGTCCCAGAGGGCGTACTCCAGGTACGGTGACGCCCAGGAGTGCACTCCGTTCGTGGTCCACTACTTCGACGCGGCAGGTTCACTCAGGCCCTGGCCAGCCTCGCCCACTGGTCAGGTGTACGTTGGGACAGCTTTGCGTCGATGTCAAACAATCCTCCTTGTCATTCTCCTCCTCCTCCTCCTCCTCCTCCTCCTCCTCCTCGACCCCTCGTCAACCCCTCCTCCTCCTCCTCCTCCTCCTCCTCCTCCTCCTCCTCCTCCTCCTCCTCCTCCTCCTCCTCCTCCTTCTCTTCCTCTCTCCCTTCCCTCCCTCCTCCACCCATCTTTCTCACTCTCTTGCTCTCGCTTTGTTTCGTTATCTCTGTGTCTCTCTCTCTCTCTCGCTTTCCGTCCGCCTTGCCCCTCTGCCTTTGATGCAGCGCCTGTCGGCACATCGACTCTCAAGAAGCAAGGGCCATTGTATCCCTCGGTTCTGGGTCGTCCTTGGCATCCTTGGCAACACTACCATGCGCGCACTGGAAACCATGTTGCGTGTTCGGTGCTTCGCAACATGATTCATCAATCTCGCCTTTTACGGCCGATTCCGATGGCATTCAGCGTGTGTCAGCACAGTGCTCTGACCAGCCATTCCTCCTACCCTCAGTTGTTGGGACGCGACACCCGCGCTTGAGAGCCCGGTAGTGTCATTGAAATGCCAGGCGCGCAAAGCTTACAGGCATGACAGTGTAGTCAAACCATGTTAGAAGGATTGTTCGGTTTCGCAAGACCCCTCCAAACACATTTGACAGTTGTGCGTCGTTTCTGCCCCCCGTTTTCTTCATTTCACTCATGCGGGGTGCCTTGTATGCGATCAGCATCCTTCCTTATATTCGTCACTGTTGCTGAATGCGCTGTAAGTTTGCGGAGGGGAATGAGGAGGGGGAACATCACGCAAGAAGATCGTGACCTCTTCCTCAATTACATGTTACAAACGAAGGAGCCACAATAACATATTTGCATGGAGGGGGGAGTGGGAAGAAGAAGAAGAAGAAGAAGGAAAGGAGGAATGGACGAATAGACAGAGGATAAGGAGAGTAGAGTGGGATTGCGCCAGGGGGAAGCGGACGAGGAAGAGGAGAGGGGAAGGCAAGACAAGGCAAGGCGGCAGGACGCCATAACCGTCGCAGTTTGTTAGTTTTTCTCGACCCTTACGGGAAGATATGGGCGCACAGCCGCCAAAAGATCTTGCTAGATCAGCTCGGGAGACGGCCTGCGTCGTGGGCTCGCTACCCCTTCAGGTGGGGGAGCCCTGCTCTGCTGATGGACCGAACCCACCACTCGCGAGAAACGAGGAATGTCGGGCGGTCGGTCTACAGGCACATGGCGGATTGGCCACTAGCCCAAGACTACACAGGACCCTTTCTTTCCTCCGACGCGTCAAACGCGTGCCGTATTCAAGGCAATGCAGAACGATAGCGACTCGCCGAATGCGCGCCAGATGTTTGTTGGTTTCTGGTGTTTTCTGACGTGCGCGCAATGTCACGACCAATGCATGCATGATGCGATGCGCAAGTTTCAAGAACCGAATTAGCGCGCCGCCTTGTTTTGCTATTTCTTTGTGGGATATCGCGCATTCGCATGTGTTCTCGAACTTGTGTGTTCCTTCGTAAACTCCCCAAGTGGAGAAAAGCACGTCTGAAGCAGCACTCCAGACTCCAACACCGTGTCAATTGCTGCATGTATGTATGCTGGTCGGTATTGGAGATTCGCCTTCCAAGTGATCAGGTGAGTGCTATCACGCCCCCCGCCCTGGGACGGGAGAACTTTCGCACCTGCGTGACTTCTTTGAGAGCGCATAAGTAAACTACGACTTCCATTATTCGGTTTAGCTAGCTTGCTTTACTGCTCGAAGTGGAATTGTTTGGTTTGCACAAGGTGCTTGTTTTTTTTGTTTGTCTTCAAGTGTGATTGTGTACACCAGCCCGAAGCAACGAACTGTCTTGTCGTCCACCAGTCCGTGGACATGCGATGAATGGTAAGAGTATTACACCGCTGGGATAAGAATTTCAGACAGCATGTGCAATGGATGCAATTTAAAGCCTCGGTGTGTTTCCAAGTTGATCCCTCACTGGGCCGCAGGCATCGGTGGTTCCAGTTTATGGTTTACGGTTCCGTTCCCGAGATGCTTGCCATTCGGCCGCGCAGCAAGTACGCGATGGTGCTCCGCAGTAATGACAGGCGGATGCCACTTTATGCGACGGGGCCCCGCCCGCATTGTTTCAACTGCGTTTCGGCTTCCATCTCCGTGCCATTTTTGTCATAAGTCTTTCACGGTTATGTAGTATGTGCGAAGTAGGGCTCTTCTACTCATGTGCATGTCCACTTGACTGACAAAGTAGACGGAATCTGCGCAATCCTGCCTCTCGCTGCCCCATCTGAAAGGGGCATCGTGAACACATGTCACGTGATGCTCTTTTGCAGCGCATTCAACTCCAAGACATCCTATACGGAGTTGCACGCCAGCCAAAGCCAGAGACATTAATGGTAGACCGGTCGCTGCAATCGTACTCTCTTTCTCTCTTTCGCCCACGTTTTCTTGAACAGCTCATGCCGTACATAGCCCAGGGCGGGGGATCTCCGACGTTTGGGCGAGAATGCAGAGGCCGAGATGCTGCGCATGTCGGGGTGGCCACACATCGATCAGGACGAATACGGCACGCTGCAACAATTAATCATCAGGCCCCAGGCAATGAGGTGAGTTGTCGGGTACGGTATGGGATTTGTGTGTATGTGGTCGGGGTCGCTGAGGCTTTCTGGCGCTTCCTGCAAAACGGGCTGCTGTCTGGAGCCCCTCGCGGCGACTGAGAGGAAGGAGGAGGAGGAGGAGGAGGAGGAGGAGGAGGAGGAGGGGGCCTTCTCCCCCCCTCTTCCCTTCCTCGTCTTCATCTTCCCTCCTTCCTTTCTTCCACCTCCCTCCTTCTCCTCCTCCTCCTTCTCCTCGTCCTCCTCCTCCTCCTCCTCCTCCTCCTCCTCTCGTGCCCTCGTGCTACCTCCTCCTCAACCTCCTCCTCCTCCTCCTCCTCCTCCTCCTCCTCCTCCTCATCCTCATCCCCCCCGCAGGATCGGGCTCCGCGGACGTGGAGATGCCCAGCTGGATGAAGAGGACGACGACGGCCCCAGAATCGGAGGCCAAACACGCGCGAGGAGGCTCCCGTATTCAGGGCGTCAAGAAGGACGGCGACAAGTGGGAGACGGAGCTGCTCGTGTTGATCGCGAAGCTGGTGCTGTCGGGGGCCCGCCAGCTCGCGTCCTTGGAGAACACGGTCTACGAGACGTACTTCGTGGAGGAGGGAGACGCCAACACAGTTGGCGCGGTGTGCAAGGCCGCAGGCGCGGCCTACGATCTAGAGTCGAAGACGCTCAAGGAGCGCGAGAAGGCCGGCGAGACCATCGACTACAAGGCACGCGGAGCCCCCTACGTGCAGGTGTACATCTCGATCCTCAAGAGGGTGCTCGACAAGACGGGCCCCACGGGCCCCAACAAGGACGACGAGTGCTACCAGAATGTCAAGACCTACTGGGACGAGGTGGTGCTCAAGAGGTCCCCTCAGGCCATCGGGATGGACGTGCTGCACTTCAAGTACAAGAGGGCGAGCAAGGACTCGACCCAGGGGGTGCTGAGCCTGGCCATCTGCCTGCGGGAGCAGATCGTGGCGGACATGTGGGAGAAGGTACTCCACTTCCTCGTGCAGATAGACGGCCTGAAGAGGACGACGGGCCCCGCCCCACGGGGGCCACTCGAGCGAGAGGTGTCGAGGATCATAGGCGAAATCCACTCGTCCAAGGGCGGGGGCAAGGGCGCCAAGAAGTGAACTGGCTCCAGAGCAGCTCGCGACTTGCGGAGCTGGTTGCCAAAGGGCATGTACCAGTCGAAGTGGCGGCTTCAGTGCACTCTCCTACTCTGCAGTCCTACGCCTCCTCCTCGCTCCCCACCGTCCCTGTCGCCTTCATTCCCAGGCCAGCTGAACAGCAGAGTGCTAGAGGTCGCGTTATAAGGAGACCGCATGAAGAGGATAGTGAATTGCCAGGACCCGCTCCACAGGGAGCGAGAGGCACCGCGAGATGGCGGGCGTCCTGTCCGCCAGGCCGTGCTAAGGGGGGTGGGCGGGGCTCGAGTTCGGTCGACCGTCGTCGTGGGGGGGAGGGAGAGAATGGTGCGCGCTAGTCCCCGTGGTGGCAGCTGCCAGGGCTGCGCGCCCGTCTGGCAGCCCGCCGCCTTAGGGGCAGCGCGGACATCTGTCCGAGAGGCCAGGGGCCGTCTCGACTAATGTGGAACCACACAGTCGCAAAAGCGACGCCCAGAGGTCGCAGTAGGCTACACTTTGCTAACTGACAGACCTCCGCGGGTCATCTGATCTGATCTGATCTCCTCCTCCTCCTCCTCCTCCTCGTCCTCCTCCTCCTCCTCCTCCCCCTCATCCTCCCCCTCCCTCCGTGCCCCCCCTCCCCCCCCCCCCGGCGGCGCTCGACCGGCAAGGCCGCCCTCGGCGCCCGGCCCCGCCCGTGCCGAGCAGAGCGGCCCCCCCGCCCGCCCGCCAGGTGGGCCGGGCATGCCCCCGGCACGCCGGCCCCCAGCGCCCCCGCGGAGCGGGTGGGAGCGGGGAGAGAGGGACCCAGACCTCCTCGCGCGGTGGAAAAATCACGACGGGCGGTTTTTCACTATTTTCGGCCTTTGGGGACCCTCCCCGCAAAAAACGACTCAGAACGAGAAAAGGGGTCCAGACATTTGGGAGTCGACGTTGTGAAAAAATCACGACGTCGGGAGTCTTGGGAAGGAGGTAAGAGGGGGATGGGGAAAGGGATGGGGAGAGGGACGGGGGACGGGGGATGGGTGTGGGGAGAGGGGCGGGGATGGGGAAGGAGCAGGAGGAGAGGGATGATGCTGCTGCTGCTGCTGCTGCTGCTGCTGCTGCTGATGATGATGATGATGATGATGATGATGATGATGATGATGATGGTGATGGTGATGGTGATGGTGATGATGATGATGATGATGATGATGATGATGATGCTGATGATGATGCTGATGATGATGATGATGATGATGCCGATGATGATGATGATGATGATGATGATGATGCTGATGCTGATGCTGATGCTGATGCTGATGCTGATGCTGATGATGATGATGATGATGATGCTGATGATGATGTTGGTGATGCTGATGATAATGTTGATGGTGGTGATGCTGATGATAGTGGCGACGATGATGATGATGATGACGATGACGATGCTAATGCTGATGATGCTGATGATGATCATCATGCTAATGATGATGATGATGATGATGATGATGATGATGATGATGATGTGTCTGCTGCTGATGCTGATGCTGACGCTGCTGATGATGCGAATGATGATGGTGATGATTGTGATGATGAGGTTAATGCTGATGATGATGGTGACGATGATGATGATCATGGTGATGATGATGCTCATGCTGATACTGATGCTGATGACGATGACGATGGTGATGAGTATGGTATTGGTGATGGTAATGATGATGGTGATGATGATGCTGATCATGATGTTGATCATGATGTTGATCAGGATCCCGATTATGATCATGATTATGATGCTGATGATGATGGTCAGAATGACGATGATGATGATGATGACGATGACGATGTTGATGTTGATGATGATGATGACGATGATGATGATAGTGATTGTGATGATGATGCTGAAGACGGTGATGACGACGATGATGCTAATGATAATGGCGGTGATGGTGAAGATGATAAGGACGACGGCAACGACGATGATGATGATGATGATGATGATGTTGCTTCTGATGGTGATGATGATATCGTGATGATGATGGTGATGGTGGTGATGATGGTGATGTTGATGACGCCGACACTACTGGTAATGATGTTGTTGTTGGTGGTGGTGATGATGATGATGCTGATGCTGATGCTGATGATGATGCTGATTATGCTGATGATGATGAGGAGGAGGAAGAAGGGACGGTGGAGGGGAAAGAGGAGGAGGAGGCTGAGGAGGAGGAGGAGGGATGAGAAGGAGGAGGAGGAGGGGGCGGAGTATGAGGAGGAGGCGAAAGGCGGGGAGGAGGAGGAGGAGAAGGAGGAGGAGCAGGAGGAGGAGGAGGAGGAGGAGGTGGAGGAGGAGGAGGAGGAGAAGGACCAATGCAAACCCAAGACTAGTCAACGATGTTGCAATAAACCCTCCCCCCAAGCTCCCTCTTCATATGCCCCTACAGGGAATGATTTCCACTGCGGGAAGTGCCCCGTTGGGAGACAACCCTTCGAACATCCTGCAGTGCGCCACAACACCATTCTCGGGACTTCAAGGCCACGAATCAACCTGACTCTTGCGTCTTGACAATCCACAGAAAACCATTCCTGGAACTTCAACACCGCGAAACAACATGAATGTTGCGCCCCGGCAATCATGAATCGTTTCACAACACCGTCTCTGGTACGTTAACAATGAGAACCAGTGAAACTCTTGCAGCTGTTTCATATGTGCGCGAGGCGATAGCAACGTTTTGAGACGGCGCCGGCATTAATCCGCGAAGCTCTTGCAACTTGTTCAAAGGAATGTTCGCGGCGCCAAGGCGGGAGCCACATTTTCAAAATGGCCCGCCCTGAACCCGTGAAAGAGTGCGCGGCGCTCAGGCGAGAGCCACATTTTGAAATCGGCCTTCCCTCAACACGTGAAATTCTGGCAATTTCTGAAGACGAATGTGCGCGGCGCTAAGGCGAGAGCCACATTTCGAAAACGACCTGCCCTCAATCCGCGAAGCTCATGCAATTCCTCAAGACGAGCGTGCGCGGCCACATGTTGAAAATGACGCGCCCTCAATGCGAGAAACTTTTTGCAAGGTTTGAAGACGAGTGTGCGCGGCGCTCAGGCTAGAGCCTCATTTTGAAAATCACCCGCTCTCCACTTGTAGAATTGCTGCCAGCTTTAAAGCTGCAGAAAGTATCAGGCGAAACGCCCAGCCCACCCTTCTGACTGGCTTCCGGCTGTGACAGGGAGGAGTTTTTAATTTGAAGAAGAACGGAGAAAGAGAAGGAGGAGGAGGAGGAGGAGGAGGAGGAGGAGGAGGAGGAGGAGGAGGATAGATCCTTCACATCCGTCCCTTCCTTCCCCACCCCCATTCCCTCCATGCCCACCCCCCTCCTCGGGGCCCCACTGTTTGCTGCACGTTTCTGCCTTGTGTCCGCCACGGCAGCCGAAGCCGACGGTGGCCCGCAGCAGGCTGTGCCTTGGCCATCAAACTTCCTCGCTCGCGGGCGTCCTCCCCCCTCGCCTCCTCTCCGCCGCCCCCCTCCCCGTCCCCTCCCTTCCTCCACCTCCCTCCCTCCCTCCCTCCCTTCACGTCCCTCCCTTTCTCCCCGTCCCTCCCGCCTCCCCCTATCCCGAGGAGGGTGCTCGCGGGCCTTCCCCCTCCCCCGCACGCGCGCGCGCGCGCCCAGGGCTTCACGGGCATCCTGGGCCTCGCCGCGGGCGGCGGCGCTGCGGGGCAGAGTGCCCCAAGCGTCGTGGCGGCCTCAGGGGCGCCTGGTTCGCAAGTTTTCGGACCGCGGGAGGGCCAGTCGAGGCATCGGCGGTCCTCTCTGGCATTTTTCGCATCCTTTTCTGGGCTTTCTGTAGGCTTCTCGTCGCCACGGCTGGATCCGCCTCGAAAACCGGGGGTCCAGGCGTGTATTCAGCAAGTGCGCCTCGTCGAGTCTTCTTGGGGGACGTCGGGATCGCTTTGGAAGGCCCTTCGCTTGCCTGGTTTGCAGCCCAAGAGCCCAGCCCTGATTCGCCGGTCTTTGGAGGTCGTTGGAGTTTTCGTTGGGAGGCTCCTGCGCGCGTTTAGGGGCCAGGGCGTGCAGCACGTAGGCATACCAGAGGTCAGAGTGGCCTCCCAGAAGCGCCCCGCAGAACTCCCTCGTCCCCTGCTGGCCCCGGGGTTCGACCAGGCTTCAGGGACGGCTTGCAAAGCTAAGCAGCAGCCAGCCCGGTCGACGAGCAGTGCGCCCCAAGACATCATCACTCGATCTCCACCTTCCGCACCTTCCGCGCGGCAGGAGCCGCGCCGCGGCGGCCGCCGCCGCAGCCGCAGCGGCGGCCTCGGTGGCCGCCGCGGCCGCGGCGGTGCGGCACCTGCCGCGCAGCGGGTGCGGCCCGTGAGACCGAGGGCTGCAGTGAGATGATCGCGCCGCATCGCCGATGCACCGGCGATGCGGCTCGGTGTGGAAGCCGACTTTCTCCGCGCCGGCGTCGCCGACGCATCGCCGACGTCGCCGATGCGTCGCCGATGCACCGTCGATGTATCGGTGATGCCTCGGCGATGCGGCGTGGGCCTCCGACCCCGGCCTCTCGCCCAGCAGCTGCTCTTCTTCGGCAGCGCTCCAGCGGCCCTCCTGCGGCCTGGCCGCCGCAGCCGCGCAGCCCAGGCCTGCAGCTCCTCCGAGGAGCGAGATCCCGGCCGGCCGGCTTCCCCGAGAGTGCTTTGGGGCTTCCCTGGGGGGCCCGCCTCGGGCCCCGGGGCCACGGGAGGGCCCCCATGCAGGCGGTGGATGTGAGAGAGGGCAGGCTCGGGCCCTGAGGGGGCCGAAGGTTTCCAGATTTGGCATTATGGATTTCATCATGGAATTGTTGGGGGTATGATTGCTAGGGGGGTCTGATTTGAGCTGCCTTGGCGGCGTCTGGGGGGTCTGGATAAAAGGCCGCCTTCTCATGGCTGGTCTGGGGGGGTCTACAATTGCGCTTCTGGGAGAGTTGTGACCGTGACCCCCCCACCTCTGTTGCGAAATTTGAAGCTAGCGAATAATAGGAGACAAACTGGTGACCCCCCCCCCGCTGGCTCCCCCGGGAGGCCGAGCATGTCCGGATCCACCGCTTGCTAGGGCCCCCAAAGAACCATCCCCCCGGCGGTGAGGACGACGACGGCCACGACGACGACGACCTCGACGACGACGACCTCGACGACGACGACGACGACGGCCACGACGACGAGGACCTCGACGACGACGACGACGACGACGACGACAACGAGCGGATCGGATACCTCTCGGGAGGTCGAGCCATCCAGGATGGAGGTCGAGCCTCCGTGGTGGGTCGCTCGCGGCGGCCCCCCGGGCCTCCCCCCGGAGGTGCTGGCGTGGGCCTCGAACCCGATGCTGGTGAAGGCTCGGCCCGCTCCCCCCCTTCGCCGCGCGGCGCGGCTGCGCCCGAGGTCCGAGGCTTTGGGGCGTGCTCGTTCTGGCAGGCTCCCAGAGGCTCCTGCAGCGTGGTCGGTGGCGTCCAAGAGGGGGCTGAGGACCATTTGCGTGTGGGTATGATGGCTGGGGCCATGAAGTCTCCTAGATATCATGGCCCTCTCTTCTTTTTCTGAGTATCATTATTATTCTTATGATTTTTATTCGTATTCTTATAATGTTTAGTATTTTGATTATTCGGAGTATGTTAATTATTCTTCTTATGTTTGTCATGATGACTCCTATTCGTACCCTGACCGTTCTTATGATTCGCATGCTGGTTCTTCTTATTCGTATGAGCATGCGTATGTGTAGTAGTATTGTCGCTCTGACGTGTCATAGTACTTTTATTATTGATATCACGATTACCCTTAACATTATTTGTACGATTATGAATGTGACTAGTAGTGTAGTTATTATTGTTATTAATAGTGTAGTATGGTAGTCTTCAAGACGTGATGCTTGCAGTGTCTTTTTCTCTGCCGTACCTTTTGCGGCTCAAGCTTTTTGGTTACGCACCATCGATGCAACAGTTCCTTACGCGAGCAGGATCTGAGCTCGCGCGCGGCATCTCCACGGCCCTCATTGTGCGAGGCGGCACGCAGCCGTGCCTTGCCTGCGAGCCGCGCCTCACCTGCTCTGTGCTGGAGTGCGCGCCGTGTCTGGAGTGCTCGTCCCATGTCCAGTGCCCGAGCCTGGAGTACGCGCCGACGAGCACCTTCCACCAGGAGGGGATCTCGGTCGTCTTCTTGCTGGGCTGCCTGCTGGTGGCCTGCGGTGCTGGGTACCTCGTGGGGCGGCGCGGGTTGCCTGTTGTCTGGAAGCCGCCCACCGCGCCGTCGACCACTCGGACGGCAGCAGCCAGCAGCGCCTCGCCACTCCCTGCGGGCCTGGTTGAGGAGCGCGTGGCGGAACTTGAGGACGTGCAGGAGGAGGCTCGGCGCCAGGCGCGGTTTGCGGCGGTTGCCGCGCAAGCCCGTCGGTAGGCGCCATGGCGCACCCGATCGCCGTCACCTACGGCCTGGCCCCTGGCGATTTTGTGTACGTGAGGTACAACTACGCCCAGAGGTTCTGGCACGAGCGAGCGCATGGTGACGCTGTTGGTGCCCAGCGCCGGCCTGCTAGTGGCCATCACCACGCCTGACGGCGACGAGTACGACGAGGATTTCGGCGGCCCAGACATTGTTGAGGTGAAGGTGGGCACCGGCGCTGGCGCGGGTGCGCCCGTGGTTGGCATCGGCGCGGACCCCCTGTACTGCTTTAGGGCGGTCCCCACCGTGGGCGCTGCGACCGCCTCCAAAGATGCCGCTTGCCTGCGACACGGTATGGTTGCACCCGCTGGGCAGCTGGTGCCGAACATGGCGGGGCGTCCTGGCGTCGGAGGCGCTCCAGCCGCTGGTGGTGCTGGGGCTGCCGCTGGTGCTGGAGCCGCTGCGGGCCCCGCGGCGCCGCCGGCTGTTGGCGGGCCCGCGCCTGCCGCTGGCGCTGGCGCGCTCGCACGAGCCGCGGGCCTGGGAGGCCTGGTCGCGGCCCTTGGTGGTGGTGACCTGGCACCGCCCGCCGGCGCCCTCGCCGTGGTGGCCGCGCCCGCTGCTGCGCCAGCAGGCGGCGCCCCCCTGGTGGCTGGCCTCGGCGTGCCGGCTGGAGGTGCGCCTGCCCCGCCTGCGGTAGGCGGAGGCCCTGCTGCGCCCGCTGCGCCCGCCGCCCCGGCTGCGCCAGGAGCGGGCGGTGCGCTTGGAGCGGTTGCGCCTGGAGCAGGGCCAGGCACTGCTTACTTCGACCTGCGCGCGATTCCACTGCACTACGACCTGCTGGGGGATCGGCTCATCCCATTCGAGCGGGCCGTGCAGTCATTCAGGGAGGACCAGTTCCCGGACTGGCCGATCAAGGGCCCCCGCTCGTGCCTATGGGTGTGCCTCTACATCGCGCAGAACGGGGGCTCACCTACCGGGCGACACGCGCGCTGGAAGCACGATGCCAAGCTCCAGGCGCAGGACACAGGGGTCGCGGAGCACGAGCGATGCTGCCGCCAGCTCGAGACGCTCGCCTGCTGCGGCCAGGTCAACTTGCCGAGCAGCGCCACGGCAGAGCACCTGGCCAGGTCGCTGCAGGTACAAGAGGAGCGGTGGCGCGAGAGGCTCTCAGGTCACAAGGAGGATGCTGTTGGGGACTCGCACTTGTACTATGGGGTGGACATCGTTCGTGCCGGCGCGCGCGTTTGCCCTGAGCTCACGGAGTGGGTCGCCAGGGGGCTATCTCGAGAGCATGCCCTGCTCAAGGAACGACGCAAATATAGAGAGGAACGAGAAGTGGCCCGCAACGTCAAGAGGAAAGATGACGCATGATCCAGAGCGCGGCCAAGTGCATCGGAGGGGGTGCCCTGGACTGCAATTCAGTGAGCCTGCTTCTGCTAGCTCCACCCCTCCTCCCTCTTCTTCTTCTGTCACGATGCCGCCGAGGGCCGACCGCCAGAGGGATCTGTTCCCGTTGCCACCGCTGGAGCGACGAGCCGCCCCCGTTTTGGATGCCTCGCCCTGCCATGCAGTGAAGCGACGGGTGCACCGCTGTGCGCGCGCGTCGGATTGGGCCGATGGCGCCATTAGAGGTCTGAACCAACTGCATGGGTCCCCGCAAGCCTCCTGTAGCAATCCTCCTGGCCTCTCTCCCCCTCCTCTCAATGCCTGCGAGCGATTCGCGCATCAGCGCGTTTTGAACTGTTTCGGTCAAGTGGGCCCCCAGCCAGCAGATTTAAGTAGCAAGGAAGCCCTCCGCGAGCTTCTTGTTGGGTCGGCTATGTATCCCGATAGCTCTACCCGTAAGCCTTACGCCCGCCACCCCGTGGTATGGCCAGAGGTCGGATCTGATCCCACCCCCGCGTAGTCTTGTCTGTCTCGGGCCGATAGTGATTGCTTAAGGTTTTGGCGTGATCGCTTGCTTCTGCCGGCTGATGTAGCAGAGCAGCAGCGTCGTTCTCCCAGACTGAACGGTCCTGGCGTTGACCCTGCTCTTCGTTCTCCCTCTCGCCATCGTGATTTTTTGCCCCAGCTGAAGCGGCGATGTGTAACCCCCAAGTCGGGACTTCTAGGAGTGTTCTTTGTGACGAAACGTAACGGCCAACTTCGCATTATTTTTTGACACGCGCGTCTGTAAATTTTAAGTTTCAGAAGCGACCTCAACCAGGCTGCTCACCCCCTCGGCCTTCGCGGGCTTCCAAACTGGGCCGGATGGGAACTTCGCCGCCCGTGGAGATTTAAGTTATGCGTTTTTGTCACCTGCGGGCCCCCTGCGGGCCTCGAGGATTACTGTAAACTCCCCCCGATCTCGTGCGACCTGGTTGCGGTCCAGGAGTCTCGCTTAGTCCCGGCACTCCCATTTCCCCTTGTTTAGTTGTACTTCCCATGGGGTGGAATCGGGCGATGCACCTGTCCCAGGCCGATGCGAGGCAGTCTCTACGGGGCGTGGGAATCTTCGACGGCCAGGTGATCGAGGATGGTCAGGTTCCTCCCAAGCTCGACTCGGACACCGCCGTCGCTGCTGCCGCCTATGTCGATAAATTATTTGTGTTCCCGCCGTGTGAAGCAACCGCGAACCAGGCGAATCGCTCTATCATCGCGGATCTCCAGGGGAAGGGGCTTGTGGTCCACGAGGTTTCGGAGGCATCGAGGAGCGTGGACTTTGTGGGGCTTGCGCTATCGATGGGTCGTACTGTCAGCTTGAAGACGCGGAACATCTGGCGCCTCAGGCCAGGCATCGGCGCCCTCCTTCGGCGTGGCAAGGCTTCGGGCAAGATGATGCAGTGTGGTTTGGGTCACGTAGTGTGGGCCGCGCTTCTGCGCCGTGAAAACCTTTGTCTCCCGGGCGATTGCCATGCATTCATCTACAAGCATCTCGACGGTAATTCCCAACAGCGCCTTTGGCCACGCGTGAGACAGGAGCCCTGGCAAGTTCGCAACTTGTCACCTTTGTGCCGCGTGGACTGGCGGGCTCAGTGGTCGCCAGATGTACGCTGCATCGATGCTCCACCGTTTGGGCTCGCCGTCTGCCGGCGTCGAGCATCCTCCTCGTCTGCTGGGTCTGTGGGCCAGCTCAGCGAACGCTGGCGCTATCGGGTCGCTGGTGCAGAAAAAGCCAGGTCTTCAGCCCTCGGATCGTCTCCTCTGCCATATTGTTCGGATGGCTTCGCCGACTCCGCCAAGCACGACGTAAAGCACGTGCAGGAGACGCTGAGGGAGTCTCGGGGCGACGACTTCATGTCCTACATTAAGGTCAAGTCGTCTGTCTTGGGGGGGTGCCCGCGGAGCTCCTGGAGGCCTTCGAGTGGGATGCTGTCATGGCGTCTCGGGTAGTCGTGCCCGGTAACATATTGGGTCTTGAGGGTGATGTAGCCGTCCGCGCCGTTCGTCACGCAAACCGTCCTTCTTCAGATCTTGGGGCCAGACTGGTTCTCATTGTGGACAATTTACCGTTATGTCTTGGGCTACGCAAGGGACGCGCCAAGTCTATTCATCTTCGTCCCGCCCTTCGTAAAGTTTGCAGCCTATCATTGGCCACGGGGGCCCGTATTGCTACCCGGTGGCGCCCCTCAGTTCTCTACCCATCTGACAAGGGCTCCAGAGGCAAGTTGGGGTGGTTCAGCGGTCCTTCGAGGTGCCCTGCTGCGCTCGTCCTTTTGGCTCAGGCGTTGACCAGGATAACGACTCACAAGAAACGCCCCTGCCGTCGGCCTGCAGCCGAGCGCGCCCAGGCCGAGAGAGCCAAGAGGGCGCGGATCGTGGCTGGGGCCCGCCCGGCGCCGGCTACCCTGTCGGTGCTGGAACGGAGCGCAGTGAAGCTTGCGTCGGAGAGGCAGTATCACCAGCTCCTGAGCGACTCCAGCGTCTCCTGCCAGTCACAGGGCGTGACCTGGACCGACCACCAGGGCTTGGACGTTGCTCTGGCTCAGTTTCAGAACTGCCTGTGCCTGGAAGGCCGCCCAGGCTCCGACGGCAGCCGTCTGCCGGCTGCGGCGTCTCACTACTGCCCGTCGGTCGGCGAGCAGGTGAAGGTGCAGTTGCCTCGCGCCAGCCGCTGCGCGCAGGCGTGGGCGCGCCGCGCCCCAGGCCGTCAGAGGCTGCCGCTGCCCCGCACAGCCGCCCTCGCAGTAGCAGGGCTTCTGCTCGTCGAGGGGCGGCTTCGCATGAGCGCGTGGATATGCCTGGCCTTCGCGTGCTACCTGCGGCCGATCGAGTGCTTCAGGCTGCTCGGACTCCGCGTTGTCGCCAGCAACCCTGCCGCGGGCAGCCAGTTCCAGCACTGGGGCATTCTCCTGGCGGGCGCCGTAGGTGGACAGCCAGGCAAGACGGGCAACTGGGGCGAGTCCGTCCTCCTCGACCTCGACGAGTGGCTGGTGCCAGTGCCGGTCATCGCCGCTCTGAAGATGACGACGGCCCCCGACGCCTTGCCCCGGCCCTTCGCAGCGCTGGAGCTCGGGCGGGCGCTCAAGCGAGCTTGCGAGCTGCTTGGCCTGGGACCCACGGACCCGCGCCTCGACTCCCTCCGCCATGGAGGGGCCTCCGACGATCTTCTTCGCAAGAGGAGGTCCGTGGAGGCCGTTCAGCGGCGCGGGCGCCGGGCCAGCTCGCAGTCTCTCAAGCGCTACGGCAAGGAGACCCGCGTGTTGACGCAGCTCAACCAGGTGCCCAACCACGCGTTGCGCTTCGGGGAGCTGGTCGAGCAGCATTATGCCGCCCTAGTGGAGAAGCGCCTGGCCGGCAGCGGAGTGCGGCCCCTGGCCCCGACCAAGTTGCAGCGCCTGCTTCGCCGCCCAGGCTCAACGCCCGCTCGATTATGAATGCGACGCCTTCTGATATCGATCGCCACCTGGCTCAGGTGTTTCATCGTGCTGTGCAGCGTGGCAGGGACTTCCGCCGCTGCGTCTTTCTCTAGCTTTTCTGTGGCAGTGCGCGTCTGACCAAGCACTTCAGACGTCAAGGCCGCAGCGCCCTTGGCCTCGACATCGTGCGGCATGCAGCCGAGGATCATTCCAGTCCGATATTTGCTAAGCGAGGCTGGATCCTTTCGAACGCAGTCAGCGCAGTTTGGTTAGCCACGCACTGTACTACCTTCTCTTCCTCTCGGCTTCCCAGGCCGATCCGACAAAGACGCTGCTGCTGTCAGTCTCGGTATTCAGCTGCTTGAGTTTACTTTGAAGACCTTGCGCCTTTGCATTCAATATAATTGTCCAGTCGCCGCTGAGAGCCATCTACTTCTGTTCTTTGGCAGGTTCCAGCACTTCAGAAGTTGTTTTCGTTCCACTCGTGCAAGCAGCTAGTTTTAGACTACTGCCAGTTCGGTACTCCCTGGCGCAAGAGGACCAGGATAGCGTTCTGGCATGTCGATGCAGAGTGTGAGCAGTTGGCCCGCCGCTGTCCGCCTGTCCATGGCAAAGGCTCTCGCTCAGGCTGCCCCCGCATTGAGTTGTAGGCAGAGAGCCGACCAGCAATCGTCACTGGGCCGCCACTGCCTGCCCGTATCCTGCTGCGCTGTGCCGCGAGCTCGCGTCAGCTTTGACTGCCGCTTCTGATCGCGCTCGTGCCTCGGTGCTCTGTGATCGATTTGGTGTGTGATGCGGCCGTGCGACCATAGCTCTCTTGCGGGTTCGGGCAGACTGCTCAACGAATCGCTGATCGTTTTTTGCTCCTTGCCGGCTGGGTGGCCACTGCCTCCTGCCCCACGCTTCGTCGCATTGATGTCAAAAAATGGAGCGCCCTGAGTTTCAGGCCCTGTGGGAGGTCCTCTCTTTTGTCCTCATTGGGCCTGGCAAAGATTCGGAGGACTGAGCAAGCTGGTACTCTTCAGGACGTGATGCTTGCAGTGTCTTTTTCTCTGCCGTACCGTTTACGGCTCAAGCTCTTCCCTCCTCTCCCCCCCTCGCGTTCTCCCGACTTTATCTGAGCAGACTGTTCAACGAATCGCTGATAGTTTTTTGCTCCTTGCCGGCTGGGTGGCCACTGCCTCCTGCCTCACGCTTCCTCGCATTGATGTCAAAAAGTGGAGCGCCCTGAGTCTCAGGCCCTGTGGGAGGTCCTCTGTTTTGTCCTCATTGGGCCAAGAAGAGATTCGGAGGACTGTGCAAGCTCATTATTCTAGTCATTGTTGTATTGCTAATATTGGTATTGTGATTATTCGCGTTATCTTTCGTATCATTAGTATCGGTATACCTGTAATCTTTGATCGTATGGTTATAACTATTCGTCTTGTTCGTTTTATCATTATTGTCGTTATTATCCGTGTCTTCTCGTCGTCCTCGTACACTTACGATTATTGTGTGTGTGTTGTTTTCGTCTTTCGCCACGTCCCTTGGCCCCTTCTCGTCCGTGTACATGCCTTGGGCCATGATGCCCTTCCTTTCCTGGCCCCCTCCGCGGCGCACCCTCACGTCTCAGCAACCGCGCCCCGTCGAGAGCGTTCCGGCCAGGAGGTGTCCGAGTCGTACCGAACGAACGCCCGAGACTATTTGGCATCGGTACGGACGTGTGCGTTTTTTCTCGGCGAGGACGGTCGAGGAGCATTGTGGATCATTGAGCGCGGAGGCCACTCACCAGACCGAGAAATGCACGGGGAATGGACGTCCGAGCGATGGCAAGGACCAAGGCTATGACCGGAAAACCAGACCTCGCGTCGCGCAAATTCCTCGCGTCGCGACGAAGTCACGACGGGAGTTTTTTTGCCGCCTTCGGCTCGGCTTCAGGGCCGTCAGAAAAACGCCTCTGGGTTGGAACACCGGCTCCTGGGAAGGGCTCGAGACATTTGGGGGGTCCACGTTGTTAAAAAGCCACGACGTCAGGGGGGCTCCCATAGGCCAAATCAAGCCCCGAAGAGGCCCCCGAGGGGCCCCAACACTGTCTCCAAGAGGCACCCGAGAGGCCTCCCAAGAGATTCCCAGAGGCATCCGAGAGGCTTCTGATCTATAACCTGGGCACGGGGGCGGAATGTGCCGAATGGCAGCAGATCCGCCGCTCCCTGTTGGCTTGCCACTCGGGCGCACGGCGTGTCAACTTTCAGGTAGTGCTTGGCTCCTTTCGGGGTCTCGGCCGATCGCGCCAGCCACCCAGAAGGATGCGACGGTTTCATGTCCCGTCGGTCCTGCCACGCAAGACGGCCCCAAGATGGCGTCCAAGACGGCCAAGATTGCCCCAAGAGACCTCAAATCGGTCCCAGGGCGCTTCTGAGACGGTCCAAGGTGCACCCAAGACGGCCCAAGATGGTCCCGAAGCTGGCCCAAGACGGCCCACGAGGCCTCCAAGACGGCCCTAAGAGGCCTCGAAGAGGACCTCCAGAAAGGCCCGAAGAGGCCAAAATCATAGAGTGCCCTTAGGTTTTTGAAGGATCCTGGCGTTTGCTCATTTTCAGCTTTCCGACGGCCCAAGCCAGCCCCAGAGGCCACCAAGATGGCCACAAGAGCGCCCAAGAGGCCTCCGAAAAGGCCTCTGGACGGCCCAAGAGGCCCCCAACACGGCCCCAGGAGGGCTTCACAACGGCCCAAGAAGCTTCCAAGACGCCCAAGATGGCTTTGCCGTAGCCATTTTGGCTCAAGGGAAGCGAGCGAGCTGGGGCAATGGGGCAATGGGCTTTATATTAATTGTTTGAGCGTGCTGAGTGCGGCACGGTCTCATGGTGTGCGGAGGTCTGCTTACACACACCAGTGTTGTGCTCGTTTGCCCGCATGGGGGAAGACAGCTGCGTCGGGCAGACTCTGCGGCGTTGGCGGCCGAATGTGTTATTTTGGCTTGTGATGTATTTGGGCCAGCAGCGTCCGCTCTATGCTGCCTCCGGCTACACAGACACCACAAAGCACTTGGATCGGCCTGCCATTGCCAAGGCGCTCATAGACGAGCTCTTCCTGGGCATCGACCCGCTGCTCGCGGAGGCCTCGCCGAACTCCGTGGAGAGCGCGATGCCGCCGGACAAGGGCATGACGCACGTGTCAGCAAATGACATCGACATGGTGCTCGAGATGGCAGTACAGCCAGTGCTGCTGTGGCTTGAGCTCGGCGCCTTCGAGGGCGGGTCCGCAATACTGACAGCCCGCCGCGCCGAGGCCAGGGCCGCGGCGTCCGCGGCGCTCGACGCCAGGACAACCGTCGTTGCTGTCGACACCTTCCTCGGCGACAGGAAGGTGATCTGGGAGAGGCCTCCAGAGGAACGGCGACAGCTCCTACGCCCTGATGGCACCATCGCGCTGTACGACCGTTTCCGCACGAATGTATTGAAAGCTGGGTCCGCGGCCGCCCTGGTGCTGCCGTTGCCCGCCACCTCCGTGACCGCGCTGCGGCTGATGCCTGGCCTGGCCGACCGGGGCCTGCTGCCGAGGCCACAAGTGATCTACCTCGATTCAGCGCACGAGGCGGGGGAGGTATTCCTCGAGTTGCAGCTGGCTTGGGAGGCTGTTGCCCCCGGCGGGGTACTCTTCGGCGACGACTGGAGCATCGAGGCGGTGCGGCGCGACGTGTTGTCGTTTGCGGCGGCGCGGGGGGCGGACGCGGACGACTCGCTGGGGCGGCAGGCGGCCGCCGCCCGCAGCCCGCGCACGCTGGGCAGGGTGCGGCGGGGCCTCTTCGTGTCGTACCTCAGCTTCCAGTGGTTCATGCGGAAGTCGCCGGAGCTGGCTGGTGCCAGCGGAGGGAACATCTCTTTGACCGAGAGCATCGCTACTCTTGGAAGTCGAGGAGATGTTGGCGAGGACTGCTGGAGCGGTGGTTTTGGCGCAGCAGATTGTTGCGATGAGGACCGGTATGGCCGAGGGGGCAATCCTAAATGTTGGGACCTCATCTTCACTTTCGACAGCTGCTGCCAGGAAGCAGCGGCAACTTGGTGAGCCAGGGGCACGCGGGTGCTGAGTCGACTGGCCAGGCTGGACCATTCGTCTTTTTTCTGTTCAGTCTAGTCCTCGTCGGTGGCTTCCGCCTTCACGCTTGTCACATTACCTCCGCATCCACGTTCTCCTTCTTCGCCTCCTCCTCCCCGCCACCCTTGTCCTCATCCTTTTCAAGCGTTGCTCACGCACGAAATATTGCAGTCTCCGAATTGCCGCCGCTATTGCCATATGCGGACCAAGCCACGATGGCGCCCTCGCTTGCAGCATGTCACACAAGCAGCAACAAAAAACGCCCAAGATGGCTTCCACCTACGGCTGTCCTGAAGCGCTCCAAGAGGGCCCAAAGTCGGCCCAGAGAAGTCCCCAAGACGGCTTCCGACGGCGTCAGACGGGCCAGAAACGCCCTCAGACGGCCAAAGAGCATCCCAAGGAGCTTCCAAAGGCCCTCAAGAGGCCCAAGGAGGCCTCCAATACGCCTCCAGGAGGACCACAGAGGCTCCAAGAGTGCCCCAAAAGCTCCCAAGAGTCCTCCTCCTCTTTTCTCCTCCCTCGTCGTCTTCCTCTTCCTCTCCCAAGTGTTTCCCGAAGGGTTCCACAATGGCTTGGGGGACACGCAGTCCGATAGCGTGGCCGAGCTCTGGCGACGACGTTCGGCCGCGTAGGCGCTTCCAAAAGGCACTGGGCGGTGGTGATTCGCCGTAGGCGCCTTCGACACTGCAGAAACCTCTTTGTCTGTCCGTCCGTCCGTCCGTCCGTCGGTCTGTCTGTCTGTCTGTCTGCTCGCCTGCCTGCCTGTCTGTCTTTCTGTCTGTCTTCTCTCGTCTTTCTGTCTCTGTCGCTCTCTCTCTCTCTCTCCCTCTCTCTCTCTCTCGTTCTCTTTATCTTTTTTTGTCTCTCTCTTTCTCTCTCTCTCTCTCTCTCTATATATATATCTCTCTCTCTCTCTCTCCCTCTCTCTCTCTTTCTCTCTTTTCCTCTTCTATGGGGTAAGAGCGGCAGCGCCACCCAACCGAACCCCACTCGGTCCCTCCAGGCAGGTCCCCAGACCCCTTGACCTTCTGGCGGGCTTCTCGGGGGCCTGCTGGCGCTGTCAGAAGCAGTCTTTGGCCAGGGGGTTCGACATGTGTGGTTCGTGCTCCCCCTCTGGGGCCTCTCTCGGGGTCATCTCGGGCCTTTTCTGGGGCTCTCTTGGGCCGTCTTGGGACTCAGTATTATGCCTCTTGGTGGTCCAATGCTCCCTCGCTCTTATACGTGTGCTTTCCTCATCTCTCCTGAAATATGCCCAGAGGAGGAGGAAGATGAGGAGGAGGAAGAGGAGGAGGAAGAGGAGAAAGAGGACGACGTCCTGACGTCGTCGCTGTCGCCGTCGTCGTTGTCTCACCCGTCGTCCACGGCGACTCGCTCTCACACCTAGACGCTCACAGGCAGAGTTCTTCAGCGAGACGTGACAGGATTATGATACGCACATCTGGGGGTCTCTGCGTTGAGTAGTGACGCAGACCGCGTCGACTTTTCCTCCTTCTCCTCTCCAGCCTGTCCCGTTCTCCTCTTCCCCACACTCACACCCAGACTCGCTTATCACATTAAGACTCGCCCATACTCAGACTCATTCATGTTAAGACCGACCCACACTCACATTCATTCATACTCATGTTCGCTCATGTTCAGACTGAGTCACTGCCTCTGCCTCCCTCAGACTCATTCATACTTAGATTCATTGGGTCCCTTCACGCAGAGTCAGCCACATCTCTTTCTGACTCAGACTCACGCGTGCTCAGAATAGTGACCCACGTACTCAGGCTGCGAGGACGTCTCCGACGAGGCGCTGGTTTCCGCAATCCCTAGAAGGGGGCGCTGGGGGGGGGCATCTCGCGGGCCCGTTCGCGCTTAGATTGAAGGGGCGCTTCAGGCGGTTTGCTTGTCTGGGTGCCCACCATCCGTTGCTTCCAGAGCGGATTGAGAGGATGTCGCAGGCGAAACGTTGGTTTCAGCACCCCAAAGAAGAGCCGCCACGGGGTATCGCACTTCTTCGTTTGCGCCCAGATTGTGGGGATGTCTCAAGCGGCTTGCAGGTATGAGTACCCAGCATCCCTTGCTTTCAGAGTAGAATGTGCGGATGTCTCAGGCGGTTTGCTTGTTTCTGCCACCTTCAGATGTTCCCCGCTTGTTGGTCCAATGTGCACCGCGATGCAGCAAGCATGGCGCTTGGGCACCCCCAAGGACAGCAGCTGGGGGTGGGGACGTTCCAGCGTTCGCGTCCAGATCGGGGGGATGTCTCAGGCGGTTGTCCCGTTCCAGCCCCCCAAAATGTTCTACTTTCTGGTCCAATGCTCACCATACTTTTTTCAGGCGTGGCACTTGGGCACCCCAAGGGGGAGCCGCTAAGGGTGGGGACACTCCAGGATTCGCGCTCAGATTGGGGGGATGTCTCAGGCGGGTTGCCTGTTTCTGCTCCCCCCTAGAATTGTGTTCCAATGCTCACCGTGGTTTTTTGCAGGCGTAGCACTTGGGAACCCCAAGTGGGAGCCGCAAAGGAGCGGGGAAACTCCAGGATGCGCGCTCGGATTGTGGGGATGTCTCAGGCGGTTTTCCTGTTTCTGCCCCCCCCCAGACTTTTCTTTGGATGTATTTGCTCCTCACTTGCTCACTCACCTCCTCCACCTTTTCTCCATTCGGACGCGCCCATTCGCACTCGGACTTGCTAATCAGCACCTCTTCCTCAGTCAGGCTCACTCATCACACCCAGACTCGCTCATATTCAAATCCGCTCCAAGTCAGACACACACACAACTACACGCTCATATTCAAACTCACTCAAACTCAGACTCACTCGCACACAGACTCACCAACTTTCAGAGTCATTACTATTCAGACTACCTCGCACCAAGGCTCACTCATGTTCAGATCTCCACTCATCACACTCAGATTCACCCACACTCAGACTAGACCTGCTCGCACTTAGACCTCCTTCTCACTCAGACTCACCTGTACTCAGACCCACTCGTACTCACACTGATTATATCCAGATTCATTCACGTTCAGGCTCGATCTTACCCGGATCCACTCACACTCACTCGCCCACACTCGACTCCGACTTTGCGCCTCCCGTCCTCGGTCGTTCGCGCTTCCTCCCTCGTTCCCCTCCTCGGTCCTCCCTCCTGGCTTGCCGTTGTGTGTGTTTTAATGTTTTTGATCTGGCCGTTTGGGCCACTGGGGATCGTCGCACAGCGCCGTTGCCCCTTCTCCTCCTCCTCGTTGGGCCTGCGAATTTTCTGGACACGTTCGGTTCAACGGCACTGGACCACGACATCTTGGTGTCCAGCGTTTTGGGGCAGCCGACTCCTTGTAGCGAGCTCTTGGTGGCGTGTTTGCGGTGAAAAAACTCGCTCACACTCAGATCACCCACGCTCAGATTCACCCGCACTAAGACTTACAAACAAATGGCTACAGCGATATAGCCAGCGCTGTGAGATGTCCAGACGAGGAGGAGGAGGAGGACGAGGAGGAGGAGGAGGAGGAGGAGGGTGAGGAGGGGGAGGGGGAGGAGGAAGAGGAGCACATCACCGAAATCGTCGCTGTCGTCGTCGTTGCCGCGCCTGCCGTCTACGACGCGCTGTCATATTCAGATACTCATGGACGAAGTCTCTTAGCGAAACGTGAGAGGAGTATGATATGTGCTTATGGGGATCGTCGTGCCGATTATTTTTTGTCCACGGCGTACGCCTCGGGAGGTCCACGACAGCTGTCCCGGGCCCAGTTGTTTTTCTTGCCGGGCCGTTGCTCGATTGCCCTTGCGGCCCAAACCGTCCGTCGTGCTCTATCGTGACGCTGGAGGTATGCGATTGCTCTCCCCCCGCCTGGCCCTTCGAGGAGGCGGTGATTCAGTTGCGGCAGCAGTTCGAGGAGGACGCGTCGGAGAGGCCCGCCTGGACGTATCCGGAGCGGCGGAGGGCGCATGGCGCTGGTTCTGGGAGCGGAAGGAGGAGGAGGAGGAGGAGGAGGAGGAGGAGGAGGAGGAGGAGGAGGAGGAGGAGGAATTATAAGAAACACAAGAAGAGCAGGGATCGGGGAGGAGGGGAAGGAGTAGGAGGAGGCATCGAGGAGGAGCACTTAGGGGCACTTATTTTATTTTCACAGGAACTGGGCCTGGCTGGCGGTCTGGCCGGTCTGTGTTCGCCGTCGCCGCCCCGTCGCCGCCTCCTCGTCGCCTGTCGTTTGGGCTTGGACGGTGGTCTGGCGGCTCCGTGCTCACCGTCGCCGCCTCGGCGCCGCCCCGTCGCCGCCTCGACTGCACAACATACATTGCGCCACATGAAGTTGCATTGCACATGCTGGGCCGCATGGATTGCACAACATGTGTTATCCTTTCAAACAGAATATATTCTGATCAACCACCCCACCCTCCCAGCTTTCTCCCCCCTCCCTTGGATAGTACAATTAGCACATGGTTCTGCCCCATCATCCGTTCTGGATGTGAATCCTTCACGCTTCATGTATCCCCAGCAGCGTCCGTAGCCTTTGGCTCAAGCCCCCTTGGCTCAAGCCTCTGGCTCAAGCCCTGGCTCGAGGTGGCCAAGCCGGCCTGCGCGGCCGCGGCCGGGGGCCCGCCCCTGGCCTCCGGCCTCCCCGCCTGCGGGGGTGGGGACGGAGGTCGTCCCTCCCTCCTCCCCCCCCGCTCGCCGGGCCATGCCCCCGGCGGAGTCGCCTGCGGCCCGCCGCCGCCGCCAGCGGCGCGCGGCCGCCAGCCGCCGCGCGGCGCCGCCCCCGGGGCTGGCGCCGCGGGGCTGCCGCGGCCCCTGGCTGCCTCGGCGTGGCGGCGGCGCGCCGGCCGCGCCGCCGGCGGCCGCCGCGGCCGTGGCGGCGGCTGGCCGCGGCGACGCCGCCGCGGCCGCCGGCGCCGTGGCCGCGCTGGCAGTGGCCGCCCGCGGCCGCTGGTCCCGCCGCGGCCGCCCCCGCGGCCGCTGGTCCCGCCGCGGCCTGCCCCGCCGCGGCCGCCCCCGCGGCCGCCCGCGGCGAGGCCGCTGGCGCGGCGGCGGCGGCTCCTGGCGACTGCGCGTACGGCGGCGTCCTGTGCGTGCCCAACGGCAGCACCTTGCCGGCCGGCGTGACCAAGTCCCGCGAGCTGAACGCCGAGACCGCGAACGGAAGGCTGGCGATGATGGCGATCATCGGGATGTTCGACCAGGACGGCCTCTCGGGCAGCGCGTGGGACGACCGGGCGCCGTTCATGGTCTCCCCGCTGCGCGCCTTCGAGTGCGAGCTGGGAGTGCAGGCGTCAGTGGACTTCTGGGACCCCGCTGGCTTCACGAAGGACGGTGACGCCGCGGCCTTCAGGAGGCGCCGCGCGGCCGAGATCAAGCATGGACGCGTGAGCATGCTCGCCACGATGGGCTACTTCACGCCCGAGGTTGCTGGCAAGTTCCATGGCGAGACCCCCCCGTCACCCGAGGTGAAGTTCGAGGACATCCCGAACAGGCTGGCTGCCTTCTCCAAGGTGCCAGGACCTGGCTGGCTGCAGATCCTGGCGCATCGCCTCTACTGCGAGTCGGGCCCGTTCGGGCACAACTCGGACCCTAACAGGAAGCCTGGAAAGCTCGGACGGAGGCCCATCAGCCTCCTCAGCACCGACGCCACGGTCAGGCAGCGCAGGTTGGATGCCGAGATTGCGAACGGTCGACTGGCCATGAGGGCGAACCTCAGCGCCATCTCCGAAGTCCCCGCGGCGGACTTGGGGCAGATCTCGGCCTACTGTACGCTATGCGAGCTATTCCAGGAGCAGGCTGCTGGCTCCGAGGTCACGGTGGGCTACTTCGACTGGAAGGCGCTGAAGGAAAGCGTCGCTGACCACGACCACGACGACGACCTCCACGACGACGATGACCTCCTCGTCGACGTCGACGTCGACGATGCTGATCACTACTGCGACCACGTCCACGTTCACGACCACGTCGACGACGACCACGACCACGACGGCTACGAAGACGACCACGACCACGACCGCGGCGACGACCACGACCACGTCCACGGTGACGACGACCACGACCTCCACGGACGCCGTCGCCTCGACGACGACGACGACGACGACGACCACGACCACGAGCACGACCGCGACCACGACCACGACGGGGACCACCAAACGACAGACGACCATCCGGGGATACTGCCACGCACAACGACACATCGGAGCATAGCAGCAGAAGCAGCAGCAGCAGCGGCAGCGTCCCCCCCCCCGTAGCGTCGACAGACGAAGACGCCCCAGAGGGGAATCGTGAGGCGGTAGAGGCAGAGGTCAAGATACCACCCCCCGCATCGTGGTCGGACGACGACGTCCCAGCGGGGAATCGGGAGGAGGTAGCCTGCAGTGACCAGGGTACTGCTCATACGAATGACCACCCCCTCCAGCTGTACCAGCAGGCCATAGGAAAGGAGCGGGAAGTCACGGCGCAGGCGGCGGAGGCTGCGGAAGCCGCGGGGCACCCCCCTCAGGACAATCAGTCCGAGGGTCTGCCCGACGGAAGGCGAGCCGAACCCATCGAAGGAGGCAACGCAGTCCCCCCGCCAAGTACGCAGGCGAACAGATCCCCCCCCAGCGGCGCAGACACACAGGGCCAATCCTCCCTCATCCTCCTTTAATTCACCGGATTGTGCGGCTATCGGCTGCGTCTCCTCCTCCTCTCCTCCTCCTCCTCCTCCTTCAGCTCAGGACGTTCGTCCAAGTGTGCATGAACACGCCCCCCAACCTGTCGTCGGCCCCTCTGCTACGACTCGGGGCAGTGCCCCCATTCCGAATGTAATGCCGAGGAATGAAACGGACATTGACAGGAGGGCAATGGTCATCAGTCTTCTGTACCAGCAGGACAGAGGAAAAGGGGTGGGATGTCACGGCGGAGACGGCGGATGCTGCGGAAGCCGCGGGACGCCCCCCTCAGGGCAATCAGAGCGCCAGTAGTCCTCTGGGACCGCCACACACCCAGCAGGGAGGCCACGGAACAACCATCCAGACGCAGGACATCGAAGCCATCCGCTGGCTAGTCGGGAGAAACCCTTTTGCCCCTATTCGCCCCCCTCCCCCAGTTGGTGAGCTCCTTACGGACGGCGAACCCGAGGCGCCCTCGCCAGGCGCCCAGAGCACCACTGGCGACGCAGCCCGCGCCCCGGCTGTGGAAGTCGCGCCGCAGCGCGCGCGCGCCCCCGGCACAACCAGTGGCGCCCCAGGGAACGGAGAGGATCAGGCGCTGTCCAGAGGGGGCGCACCTGGGAGCGACAGCGGGCGCAGGCCCGAAGGCGAGCGCCAGCGAAAGGGACCCCTCCCCGCGAGCCACAAGGCCGAGTCTGCCTTGGCCGCCGGACGCGTTCCGACCCCAGCCTGGCGGCCAACCATGCGGCCTGCACTTGTCCGCAAAATTCTGCCAGGCGGGCAGCCGGAGCTGTCGCGAGCAGATTGCGATCCCCCCGGCCAGGACAACGAGGCCGTTACGTTGGAGACTGGCGGCCGGGATGCAAGGCGGCACCGGGGGCCCGACCCGCCTCAATGGCCAGGGCCCAAGGACCCCGACACGGGACAACAGCTGTACAAAGTTGGAATCAACAACGCCCAGTGGGACCTCCCCGGGGAGGCGCCCGGCGAGGCGATGCGACGACTCCAAGTCACACTGGGGCCAATGTTCATTGGCACATGGCACGCTTTCGCCAAGCGGCAGTCGGTGCCTGGCGGCAAGGGCGCGCTCGACCCGGATCGACGCGACCCGCAAACCTGCCACCTCTTTCTGGAATCCTTCCGCAGCCACAAGGGCGACGCACGGGTCCTCAGCGATGCGCTGGGCCTCGACGTCGACTGGACTCGGGCCTGGCAGCGGCGCCTGGGTCCGAGCGGCGGCGTGAGCAGTGGTCACCATGCGGTAAAGGGCCACCCGAGCAAACAGGCCCCCAGGAAGCACTGCAGACAGTGGTGGGCCGTCTCCCCACAGTAGCCTTGCTGTCCCCTCGCGGCATCCCGGCGAGTTGCTACCGTGGTAGTGTCTCGACACCTGCTTCTTTCAGAACTTCTACGTCCTTTTCTTCGCTGTTGCCTACGCGCTGCGTGTGTGGCTATACCGTCGGCCTCAGTTCATTTCTCTTCTGTCTGCGTGCTGCGCGTGCGGCTATACCGTGGACAGTTCAGTTTTCTGCTCTGAGATCCACCTTCTCTTTTGACTACGAGTTGTACACCGTACTCTGCAGCGCGATTGGGCGTCTCAGACTTCCCCCCTCTTGGTTCTGACGGGCTGTTGTCGGACGCGCCTTGCTTCTCCATTGGAGGAAACACGCTGCGTGGGAGACGAACGACAGGCCCCCCCGGAGCGGAAGATACGCACATCCCGAGTACGTCGGAGGAAATGCGCTGCGTGGGTGGCGGATTGACTGGCCCCCCCTGGTGCGGGCGCAGTAGACTAGCAAAAGATTTATGGTTTCTTTTCGCTTTGCGTTACCCCCCGACGGGCGCCTGCGCCCCGTGCCTCTCCTGGCCCCCCGCCCCCCGGTGCTGGGCGACACGCTGCCCGTTCGCCCCCCTGCGTGTCGCCGAGGCCGCCGCTTCGGCTCGCTGGCTGCCGTCTCGGTTCGTGGTTTCTTTGGTTGTCCGGGGCGTGCGTGCAACAACCAGGAAGGCAGAGGCCTGCGGAGTGGAGATCCAGGGCACCACGAAGTGTCAGCACTGTCCTCCGCCAGTGGTCTGGCGCGTGGTTCCCCCCCGCCGTCGCTGAAGACCCTCCGCAGAGATCGGTGGAGGGACCGCAGAGGTGCCTCCGACTTTGGACTGTCGTTCCCCCCCTGTGGTCACTGACGGCCCTCCACAGGAAGCGGCGAAGGGATCACAGAGGTGACTTCGACCGGTGTTGTTCCCCCCGTGGTCACTGAAGACCCTCCTCAGGGAGCGGTGGAGGGATCACAGAGGTGACTCC